AGTATAGGGCATTTCAACATAGTGACATCTGATCCGATGTTGAATCTCTTCATTGATGTCCGTAGTGGTGGACAAGTGGAAGCCGAGGTATTGAAAGTTAATAATATTAGAGAGGGTAGTACCGTTAAGCTGGACAGATGGCTGAACCAGGGGCAGGCTGAAAGAGAATCTGAGTCCTACGTACATTCACCTCAAGGCCGAAGTGTGCATATGTGTTCAGGATGTCCTGTAAGTCAAGTTCAATGTGAGCGACAAGGGTGAGGTTGTCCGCATACTGAAGGTCAGTAATGGAAGCTGCCTACACCTTTGTTCCTGCGTAGAGTCGTCTTATGTTGAAAAGACCCTTCATCCGGTACTGGATATCCACCATGCTGAATAAATTGGCACTGGTACGAGTAAGGAAGGCAGCAAAGAAAATGGAAAAGAGAGTTGGTGCTAGTAAAATATCCTTGATTTTCCCCCGTTTCAATGGGAAGAACTCCGACTGGGTGCCATTCTGCAGGACACAGCCGTTAATGCCATCGTGGAGTTGCCTCACAATGGCAATAAATTTTGGTGAGCAGCCAAATGGCTGAGGATCCTCCTGAGGGCTTCCCAGTTGACCGAGTCGAAGGCCTTGGTTAGGTCAATGAAGGCCATGTACAGGTCACGACGCTGTTCTCTGCACTTTTCCGGTATCTGTCGGGCTGCAAAAGTCATGTCAGTGTTGCCACGTGTTGGTCTAAAGCCACATTGAGATTCTGGGAGGATGTTTTCCGCCTCAGGAAGAAGTCTCTTTTGGAGGACTCGGGCGATAATCATGCCAGCTACAGACAGCAGCGAGATCCAGCAGTAGTTGCCACAGCCTGACCAGTCTCCCCTTTTCTTATAAATATTGATGATGGAGGCGTCTTTACGAACTTGAGGATTTCCAACTTTACCCATATATTCTCCAAGAGAGAGCAGAGACGGCTGGTAAGCAGAGGTCCTCTTGCTTTATACACCTCGGCTGGGATTTCATCAGGCCCTGAGGTTTTGATATTTTTCATCTGTTTGACGGCAGTAGTTTTCTCATCCAGGGATGGAGGATAGCTGAGGTGGCTCAGCTCTGGGTGCTGAGGGACCTGCTGCAGAGTAGTCATAGTCAGGACATCCACATTGGTGTTTCGATTGAGAAGCAAATGGTAGTGCTCTTTCCAGCAGTGAAGATTGCCTTCTGCGTCTATTATTAAAGAGTTACCGTCGGGTGAGCGGAGGAGAATTGCGCCATGAGTGATTGGCCAATACATTGTTTTAGTGGAATTGAAAAATTCGCGCTTCTTGTGTTGATCTGCAAGTTTCTGCGTTTCACATGCTTTATTTTTAAACCAGACGCTCTTTAGATTGCGAAGCTCGAGCTGGGCAACCGCTATCTTCTTGCGGAAGGTATCAACTTTGATCCGAGACTGTCGGTTATTCTGCCAGTCAGTTAAAGCAGCACATTATTATCAACGGGTACATTGATTTCCGGGTCATTTTCATTAAACCAGTCCTGGGGTATTCTTTCGATCTGGCCGAGTGTCTCTGCAGATTTTTGTCATGATAATGTCGAGAATACCCCATTCGGCATTGGGATTTGCATTGTTTGTTGTCAGGTTGTTTATCAGCTCATGTTAGAGCTGCTCTCTGAAAGCATGTGCTATCATTGGATCCTCCAGATGCTTAGTATTAAAACCTTTTCTGGAGGATTTTTGTTTTCTTCGTTTTAGGGCAACGTGAAGTAAGAGCTTGGCTCTGACGAGCCGATGATCAGTGTCTCAGTGGTCTGAGCCACGCATGGCTCAGGTGATGAGGACATTTCGGTGATCTCTTTCTCTGACAGTGCTGTAGTCAATAAGATGCCAGTGCTTGGATCGTGGGTGTTTCCAGGAACCCTTAAACAAGGTATTGATGATAGTGAGGTTGAGTGCAACACACTTGCTGAGGAGGAGTTGGTCGTTGGGATTACACTTGCCAACTCCATTTCTCCCTATGAGTCACTGCCAAATGTCAGTATCTCTTCCAAGTCTGGCACTGAAGTCAGCTAACAGCACAACCTTATCTTCTATGGGGATAGAGGTTAGCACTCTGTCAAGGTCGGCATAAAAGGCCTCCTTGATGTGATCCTCTACATCCAGTGTTGGGGCGTGTGCACAGATGAATAAGGCACGACATGAGTGATAGAGGGGATTCTGAGCGTCATGAGGCGCTCGTTGATCTCAAGAGGCATTTCAGTTAGCCTATCTACTATGCATTGGTGGATGGCAAAGCCAATTAAATAAATGCTGTTTCTCTCCGCAGCAGGCTAACCCTTCCAGAAGGTATACAGCCATTTTTTTAACACTTGGGTTACTTTTTAGTATCCCAAAAGCGCCCTCGTTGGCCGTAATTCATTGTTTTAAGCCAAATTTCGTCGGGTTACCATTTAGTAGTCCGACAATATTATTGGGAAGTTCGGGATAAGTCCTCAGGTGTGAGTAGGCACCCGAAAGACTTATCCCGAATGTTCAAACTGTGAATAGAAAAAGTCTCTGAAATACAATTTATGTAAATTAAGATGAGATAATAAAGAAAACAAATATTCAAATGTCCTAATAACCGGTTCCGACGGAAATGCATATATTTTTAAGATACCGCCGTGTACCCCCGTGATGTTTTACCTTCAACTTCGAAGATTTTCTTCTCCCCATCGCCCTTCTCCAATTTATCAAGCATTGCATTCTTAGAATCAACCTCTTATAGCTTCAAGCATGTTAAGTAACGCACTTTTATTTGTGATAGATAGATGTAATGCCATTTCCAATTCGCCAATATATTATAAATGGAAGATATAAGATGAGCCCAATGTACTCTGTTGATTGCTGAGGTAATGGCGTACAGCACGTGTCATCTGTGTGACTCACGTTGATAATTACCATGGAAAAAAATTTCTCCTGCTATATTTCACTGTTTGGGTTGTTGTTGTTCCGGTTGTGTTTAGGTACTACCAATGTTTGTAAGTTTAGATTAGGTTACGTAAAATATTTTTTTAGATGAAATGTTCGAACTCAGGGATAGAAAAAAGTGCCATAATTGATTAATTTTGTTTTCAATCACTCAATTTAAATCGTGTCAGTCCTGTCTCACATCACTGGAACAACAATAAACAAAAGTTACATCCACTTTCCAGAATCAGGCAACATTCAAAACCTTGTAGATGAATTTCACACTATTGCAGGGATGTCTGGTGTATTTGGCTGCATTGATGGCTCTCATATCCCTATTGGAAGCCCTGGAGGGAACACAGCTGAACTACATCGATGTAGAAAGGGGTGTAATTGATACATGGTTTTGATTTGTGTATTGTAGTTGTTTGAAAGTAGAGTAAGTGTAAGGGCAAATGGAAGCATTATTGGTTTGGTAAAAAAGTTTTTTTTAGCTAATAGATTATATTATCAAGGTTATTTTCCAATAATATTTTGGCTTCATTTAACACATTTTATTTCCTCCAAACATTATCACAGTACATCTTGAAACAGCATTTCAATTAAAACAAAATTAAATAGGGATTACACTGGCATGACTCAAGAAAAATATATCACAGTACAGTACAGTACAGTACAGTACAGTATATGTAAAATTATATCATTCAAACAGTTTAGTATTTTGCTTCAAATTCTAAATGTACACATTTCTAAAGGCTTCAAAGTACTATACTGTACTGAAATAGTTTACAAGTGTCAGGGAAATCCATAAACAATTTTAGTTCTTCTAAATAAGAATAAGCAGTTAGACCAAATTTATCACAGTAACTGTACAGTGTGCAGTGCTATATATGCATTAATAGTAATCATACTTAGTTTATAATTGCAAATACAGTTATAGCAATTATCATTCTTGAAAGATTTTAGAAGTACTGTACTGTACCTATATTGAAATTGTAATTAAATTTAGAAAGAAATGTGAAATAAAAGATTGTTTAAAATTACCCAATAAGTATGAGTATATAATACACAGTGTTTCACTTCGCGTTTCAAGTTTATTGTTGAGGTTTTGAGGGAGAGATAATGCACGAGGCTCCAGGTTTATTGTTGTTAATCGTAGCCTGCCCTCTAGCGGTCAGTAAACAAAACATACACTTTGGCGTAGCATCTTTCAAAAATTAACACAGTATACATTTTTCAACATTCAATTTATAATAATGTTGCACATTAGAATATAGCATGTTGTAACGTTCTTCCTCTTTTAAAGAAGATAAAATGAGATAAAATAGTGTCATTTCTCTGCGACTAGCTTACCACAATTAATACTGTATATTCATAGGAACTAAAACACTTACAATCCTTGTAGTATAAACATCACAGCTTCCACATTGTACATAACATTGCTATACTTAATCAAGCAATATAGTACTTCATCACAGCAACTAAAATTAAATATTCTGATACAGTAATTTGTTACACTAAACTTAATAAATCCATTAAAAATGAAGAAAATGAGATGTCTTAAACAAGTTAAATTTGATTGTTACTTACATCATGCATTCATTTTGTCAAAATAAAATATTGAAATTTTGAAGGCATTTTATTTACAGTCTGCCTCATTCTCCTTTTGTAATCAATGAGTCATTAGAATTTGGCTCTACATTAGTCTTAAAATTTTCAGACTCTGTGTCTTGCTGTGGAGGAGACATTATTCATTTCTTTGTTATGTTCTTGTGCCTGCTGAGTAGTTGTTTGATTGATATTTTCTCATGTGTCTTGTTCCCATTCTCCATACTTCTTCTTATATGAGATCTGTTTCTCCTAAAAATACCTACATCCCTTTCAATTAAGTCTGATCTATCATCTAATAGTTGTACAATTTTACCTTTTTCTCCAATCTTTCTTCCCTAGCACATGTGGTTTCATACGTACTGTTTCTTCTGACAAATTATTCAAATACTTGGCTCCTTTATCATAATACAATTTACTTCTGATATTTCTCAAATGTTTTCTTTTCTTGGCAAAATTAGTATCAACCTGTTACAGCTGGAGAAGCTTACTAGACATTGGTAGTAATGTTCGTGTTCTTCTACCTAAGTTATATTGTGCTGGACTACATTCTTTGTCTTGGGCGGGTGTGTTTCTATATTCTAAATTGGCTAAATCTGGATCTTTACCGCTTTCTACGGCTTTCCTAATCAATGTCTTTGCCAACTTAACAGCTGATTCCGCCATACCGTTAGATTGCGGGTATGTGGCACTGCTAGTTGTGTGTTCAAAGTCATACTTTATAGCAAAATCATAGAATTCCTCACATGTAAATTGTGGTCCATTGTCACTAATAAGAGAAATTGGGAGACCATATCTAGCAAAATGAGCTTTTAATTTTCTTATAACAGCAGCTGCTTCTGTGTTTTCTAGATAATCTATTTCCCTAAGGTTTGAAAAATAATCTACTGTTACTAAGTAATCAAGATATTTTAGTGTCATTAAGTCTTCATGTACTTTCTGCCATGGCCTATCAGCTAATTCACGAGACATTAGAAATTCTTTCTGTTGTGCATTTGGATATGTGTTACACATCTCACATGTTGCAATAAACTGTTTCAAATCTGCATTCATGCATGTCTAATAAATGCATTCCCAGGCACGTCTTAAGCATCTTTCAATACCTATGTGTGATGAATGCACAGCTTTTCTCATCTCTGCTCTTAAACTTAGTGGTATAACTATTCTATCACATTTAAAAATTAAACCATCTTGAACAGAAAATTCTTTTTTACAGGAACTATGTGGTTTTTAGAGCACAATTAATTTTATTTACATCTTCTGGCCATCCACCCAAAATCACTGATTTTATTAATTACAGAGTATCATCAGATTCTATTGCCCTTCTTATTTGATCTAATATCTCTTTCCTTATTGGTACATTCAACATTATTAATTTGCTCAAATTCAATCTGTTTACTACTCTTATTAGGCAAAAATTGTGATCACTTTCTATTATAGTTCTCCTTCCGAAAGTATACTGATGAAATTTATCTCGAGCAAACACTATTGCTAATGTTTCCTTCTCTATTTGAACATATCTAGTTTCAGTCTCAGTCAATGCACGACTTGCAAATGCAATTGGTTTATCACAGTGTATTAATGCAGCACCTTCCTTTTTGAGAAGCATTACATTGAATCACAAGTTCCTCTTTTTGTCATAATACTGCAATATTGGAGTCTTATTGATCAAATGCTTTAATTGCTTGAAAGCTTTGTCATGTTTCTTTGTCATTTCCACTCAACATTCAGATGTGTTAACCTTCTAATTGGTTTCATAACCTCTGACAAACGTGGTAGAAATCTGCCTAGATAGTTAACCATCCCAGATAATCTTTGAATACCTTTTATATCTTCTGCTGGATTCATGTCTAAAACAGCTTCCACTTTTTTAGGGTCTGCCATTATCCATCACTTGTTACTTTATGCCCTAAAAAATTTATTTCAGACTTCCTAATTTCAGTTTTTTCATTGTTCAATTTAATACCCATCATTCTGCATCTTTCTAACAACTTGTGCAGTTTTTCATCATGATTCCTGACTGCTTCATCATAATTATTACCAGTTCCATAAACTAAGATATCATCAGCAATTCATACAACTCCTTTAATGTTGTCTAATGCCATGTGTAATCTCTTTTGAAATATTTCACTACTCACATTTACACCAAAGGGTAATCTTAACCACCTATATCTACCACATGGTGTTTAAAAAGTAGTTAACATACTTAATTCACCATCTAGAACACATTGCCAATACTCATTCTCCAAGTCAAAACTTTAGAATACTTTAGCTTTTGTTATTTCTGGCAAAATGTCATCCAAGACAGGTAATGGATGCAATTTCGCCTTTTTAAAGCTTTGTTCAATGCCTGTGGATCTATACATATTCTAAAATCACCTGATTTTTTGACAGCTGATACCATCCTACTAACCCAATCTGTTGGCTGTTCAACCTTTGCTATTACAGTATATTACTCTGTTCCATTTCTTTTAGCTTTCTTAACACTTTATTCTTTAAGCTTATTGGAACTCTACAAGCGGATATAGCTACAGGTTTTATATTATCATCCACTGTCAAATGAACTTTTCCAGAGGTCAGTAAAAAAACATACACTTTGGCGTAGTATCTTTAAAAAATTTACACAGTATACATCTTTTAACATTCTCTTTCTTATAAAGTAACACATTGCAATAGCATATTGTAACACAAAGTATCACAGTATATTGTATTTGAAATTCTAGCAACAAATATGTTGAATCTATTTGTGTTCACAAAAAGTAAATGAACAAAAAATAATAAATGTTTGAACAAACAAAATATGATTTCACATCTCCATTAAGTGCAAAAAAAAAACAACAACAGTAAACAGAGATAAAAAAACAATTAAAATTCTCCAATAAGCATGAGTGTACGGTACAATACACAGTATCACAGTACTGTACAGTATATTGTATCTGACATTATAGCACAAATTAAGTTGAAAAAATCTATTTGTTTTCACAATAGAAAAAATATTATAAATGTTGGAACATGAAAAAGTATTTCATATTTACATTAAGTGCAAAGAAAAAATAGTAAAGAGATGAAGATAGAAAAAATCATAGTTATACATCATCAATTATGACACTGATGGCATAGTCTCTATATTTTAACTAGATTGCCCACAGCCAGAGGTGGAATTATGGCTACACTCTTGACATATACCACTGCTTAACAGCTTTAATGCTTGCTCTAAATACATTACGCTCAGATTGGGCTGATAATGTATTGTACATACTAGTGAAGGCCTTTATAGCCTCTAATATAGCACCATTCAGTTCTTGTGTACTGTCCTTAATAATGTCATTGAAGCATTCATTCCACTTGTTCACCTGCTTCCTTTTCTTCTCCCTGTGACTGGATGTAGATGCTGCTGTTGCTGTTGGTGGCACGGGTGATCCTGATGTTGGATCAGTTGATCCCAGAGTTCCTGTTAGGTGCAGACAATGGCATAATTGGTGGTGGTGTCTGCCTTCTCCCTTGAAGACGAACTTTTATCTCCACAACTCATGTTTCTGCTTCAATTTTGGCGCGCAGATCGACCTGGTTTGTTTACATTTATCTTGGATAAGGCGTACCAACCCTCTCGAGCTGCGGCGTTCGTGTTACTAAATAGTAACCCGATGTTCGGGATTGATATTCGAGTTTGACGAATCCATTTGACGGGTTACTAAAAGGTAACCCGACATTCTGGATTGCTCTTCGGGCTTGCTGCCCCTAGTGTTTAAAATAATGGTCGATAGCCAGACCCCAGACCCTCGTCTGGGAGCCGGGACTCACTAATGGCCATTATGTTGATGTTATACCTCCCCAACTCTTTCGCCACATGGGCAGTTCTTCTTTCAGGACGCTCATTTGTGCCAGGATCCAGAAGGGTACTGACATTCCATGCAGAGATCATAAGAGGTTGTATAGTTTGTCTGACGTTTGTCTTGAATACCCACAAAATGTTCTATACTACTGAGGGTATACACAAACACTTGTTATCTTAAAAGTAGGTTCTATTCTCGTACGGGAGATACATATATACAGAGGGACCCAGGAGCTCGCTTCCACACCACAAAGACTCTGTCTTCACTCCTCTCCATCTATGTATTACTGCGCGCTGGGATGTACAGATGCAAGCATTCACAAGCTGAATACATAAAGTATAAATATGATAATTTATATACATAATATGGTGCACAATAAATAGGAATATTACATAGAATTAATACATGTTCTGTAATACTTTACTATACATAATTAATGGAGTAATATCAGAGTAATATAATAATACACAGCTTAAGGTACTACTTCGTGTCCATATCATACAGTTTGTTTTTGCTTTGATCTGTAATTATGATTGTGTTTTTGACTGCATAAGGATGACCTTACTGGGTGCAGTTACCTAGTCAGGTTGAATCTTTAGGCAGGCTATGTTTAGGGCGCCTTTTCTAGCCCCCTCCCCATGTGGGATGAACAGAGTGGCTCCTCGAAAGGGCTGCTCATTCGCACAGACAGGACCAGATTGCACTGCTGAGTAGATCTCAGTGCATAAACGACCATCTTCTCTATGCCGGCCATGTGCAGAGTTGTGATTAGAGACTCCTGCCAGTCATCACTGCCTGCCACCGTCGCCATCGTCATTGGACTTTTTGGGATATAGGGGTTTTCATGATGATGCAAAATATGATGAGCTGCTTTGTGACTGCACGTGAGTTGATTTATGTGGAGAGGCAGGAGAGCAGGAAGCAACCTCACATCTTCGGTCTCCCTTTTCCTGATCCAGTGGTGCAAGTGTTGCAACGACTGGGGAGAGGGAGACTTGCAATGGACTGCCGATAGCCCAGTTTGTTGAGTTTCGCCTTAGTAGCCTGTCCATCATGCTTTGCCTTCGTCCGCCAGTAGTCGTTGGGTTCCCATAGTGGTCACCTCTTCCACCTATACCGCCGTTGGGGTCTTGTTGGAGCTCTGTAAGCATGTTTGCCTGTTGCAGGTCTCCTCCACAGATTTTTCGTTCCGGGTTTACTCCCGTAGCCTTACACCTACCAAGGTTAATCAGCAAAGCAGTGGGGCAGTGGTTGGTACGCTCCAGGGCGTATCTACATGCCAGTGAGCCTATGCACCGTCCTGAAGACATATTCAACAGACGAATCAGCCGAGGTAACCGAGTCGTAAGGGAGAACACTAACACATAATATATATAGTTTCCGAAGGCCAAGCGAGTATTCGAAGTTCGGTGATGGGGATGTGTCGTGGCGCATAGAAGAGACAAGTTAAGCGGAAGTATTGGCATTGAGGCAAACTGAACTGTTATGTGACGCTTCGCTGTGTCCTCCAACAACTCGTCACCTATCCAAGTCCGTCCTCCCCTCCACACCTACCCAACTTGTGTGACCCAGGAATGACAAGCAGGACCTAGATAGAGTAACACCCTCTCTCCGTCTCTTCCTACTCCCTCTCCATCTTTGCATCCCTCCCTACCCCCTCTTTCTACACCATCCAATCTCCTTCCTTCTCCCCATCCCTCACTATTTCCTCTTTCTGCCACATCCATTTTCTTCCCCTTTCACCAACCCTCCATATTCCGTCTTCTACCCCACCCATTCTCCTTCCTTCTCACCATCCCTCCCTACTCCATCTTTTTTATTTATTTCCACTCACTTTCTCTCCATCTATCCCAAATCCCTCTCCACATCTCTCTCCTTCCATACTTCAACAGTTAGGTAATGATGGATAGGCTAGTGCGTAGCAACTCGGATCAGGCCATAGATCAAGGTGTAAACACTATGATCGGGATAATTATTGCTCATTACGTAGGTAATTGAATTAGGATATAGCTCAGCCTGAAGATACTTGGATCAGTATATATCCCAGGGTGTAGAAACGTGGATCAGTATATTTCTCAGTGTGTAGGTACAGTCCAAGTCATTCATAAGCCACATAGACTGACGGCCTTGAAATTCCTAACCGACAACTTCACTGGGTGCATCCCTTCCCTATCCCACCTCCAGAAACACACAAGCCAGGCAATTAATCAGTGGTCAGCC